AACATGATTGCACTTGTATACTGTGGCTCTTTAATGTTAGTGTAAATATAGGGGACAAGCTGAATATATTGATAGACAATAGAAATACACCGAAGGGAGGAGTAGAGTGAAAGAAGAAAGAGGGGTAGAGAGGGTGGGAGAGAGGATTGGAGGGAGGAGGAGAAGGAAGGGAGGGAATGTATTGGGAGAGAGGAGTGATAGAGGGGGAGGGGAAGTAGGAAGTAGAGGGGAATGTTGGAAGGAAGAATGAAAGTTGGAGGGGGGTGAAAGAGGGTGTATGGTGGGTCAAGGTGGTATATTGGGTTTGTATCTTGGGGGGTAATGTTTATAAAAGGAAGGTTATGTTTATTATTCAATGTCATATGCCCCGGTTATGCACAGTATGCATGTGATTGTATGGAATGAAATGGAAATAAACATATTTTAAAACGGAAAAAAGAAAAGAAAAGAAAAGTAAGCCCAATTGCCTCCTGAAAAAAAGCACCTTTGGGACAACCATGACCTGTATGACTGAGAATCTCTACAGACTTAAAAGCACGGCGGTTTATGAAGAAAGAGCATTTCAAGGCTGGAGTGTACATTTTAATTGCAGAAATTCTCAATTTTTCTTTTCTCACCTTGGAATCCCATCTTACAAGGTGTTGAAAAAAGTCTTGGCTTATGATAGCAGAAAGCAGGGTTGAAATCGCCTTCGCTACCAGTTCGCACGCTCGGGCGCTCCCTTCGCTAACACTTCTGCACATGCACAGGACCTTCTACACATGTGCAGAACGTCAAAAACGGGAGGTGATGACATCCGGGTGGGTGGGCGGAGCCTCACGAAGACGACGCTACCGGTTTGTCCGAACCAGATAGAACTGGCGGAATTTCACCATTGGCAGAAATTCATGGACACATACATCTAGATACTCAATTTCCTTTTACGATGTGAATATGGTTATTCAGTTACCTATGGAGATTCTCAGTCATCCAGGCCATGCTTTCCCCAAGGGTGCTTTTTCAAGAGGTAACTGGACTTACTTTGCTTTTCCTTAAAGACCTTTTCGCTTCCCATCCAAGAAGCTTCTTCAGTTCTGACTGAAGGGTGGGGATCAGACCCACCCTTCTGTCAAAATCTAAGAAGCTTCTTGGATGAGAAGTGAAACGTCTTCAAAGAAAAACTGAGAAAGTCCAGTTGTACCAGATATTTTTAGATTTCAATACTGGGCAGCCCGCTCGCATTACATCATTGGGTTTTCAGTTTCTCCTTTCTTGACTTAGGCCAAGGATTCAGGGAAGCCTCAGCAGGTTTCCCATACCTTCATTCAGATCCGGGTGATCGAAGAGAGCATCCACAAACCCACAGCCATTCCCCTGGAGATTTTTATCGTGACTATGGAAGACGACTTCCCGGGAGGTGTCATCGGAAAGATCCATGCGACAGACCAAGATGTCTACGATGTCCTCACCTACGGCCTGAAGTCAGAGCAGAAAAGTTTGTTCAAGGTCAACAACCACGACGGGAAGATCATTGCCCTCGGAGGGTTGGACAGCGGGAAGTATATCCTGAATGTATCTGTCAGCGATGGGCGGTTCCAGGTCCCCATGGACGTGACGGTCAACGTCGAGCAGTTGGCCCAGGAGATGTTGCAGAACACTGTCACTATCCGCTTTGAGAACATCTCCCCGGAGGATTTTGTGGGTCTTCACATGCACGGCTTCAGGCGCACCCTACGCAATGCCGTCCTCACCCAAAAGCAGGATAGCCTGCACATCATCAGTATTCAGCCCGTAGCCGGTAGCAATCAGCTCGACATGCTGTTCGCCGTCCAGATGCACACCGGCGGCTTCTACAAGCCAGCCTACTTGATTCAGAAGCTCACCAATGCAAGGCGACACTTGGAAAATGTGATTCGCATCGCTGCCATCCTTGAGAAGAATTGCTCCGGGCTGGATTGTCAGGAGCAGCATTGTGAGCAAAATCTGTCTATCGATTCCCATTCCCTGATGACCTACAGCACCGCCCGGATTAGCTTCGTCTGTCCCCGGTTCTACCGAAACGTCCGGTGTTCTTGCAATGGTAAGTGCCACTTCCCATCTCTCCACCACTCTTGTTTGTTCGTTTATTTATTAGTTTGTCAAACATGTACAAGTTAGCAGGTATAAGTATGAACATGGACATGAACCAAAGAAATGAATACAAATAAATGGGGACAGTAGGACAGGGACGGTAGGCACGCTGGTGCGCTTATGCACGCCCCTTTTACAGAACCTCTTAGGAAAGGAGTGAAGTCCACGGTAGACAGTTTGATGTTGAAGCTGTGGGGGGTTTGAGGATGTAACAACGGAATCGGGTTGTGCATTCCAGGAGTTGACCACTCTGTTACTGAAGTCGTATTTTCTGAAATCGGTTTTAGAGCGGTTTACCTTGAGTTTCTATCTATTGTTTGCCGACGTATTATTGAGATTAAAGCTGAAGAAGTTGTTGACAGGTAGGACATTGTCGCAGACAATTTTGTGTACTATGCTTAGGTCCGACCGCAGGCAGCACAGTTCCAGATTGTCCAAGCCCAAAATTTCAAGCCTGGTGGCATAAGATATCATATTGTGAGCAGTAATCTTCTTGTGAAATACCTCTGGACCCGCTCTATCGTATACAGTGTGGATTCCAGGCAGACGAGCTGTATTCGAGAATTGGTCTGGCAAAGGTTTTGCATGCCCTAGTTAGCAGTACTATGTTGCCAGAAAAGAAGCTTCTTAAAATTAGGTTAACAACTCTTAATGCCTTTTTGGCATTAATGCTACTACAGTGAGCTCTGGGGTTTTGATTGTTTGAGATGAGTACTCCTAGATCCTTGACAGAGTGAGTAACTANAACTTAACTTTCTGTTTTTTTCCTTTGAAGAGGTTTTGCTTCTTATCCAAGAAGCTTCTTCAGAGCTGAAGAAGCTTCTTGGATAAGAAGCGAAACCTCTTTAAAGAAAAAGCAGAAAGCCCAGTTGCCTCTTGAAAAAGCACCTTTGGGATTGTACAAGAAGAGATTTGGAGGCTTGGTAAAACTTTCGCCTAATCTCTGCTACTACAGCTGAGATGTCAGTAAACATGATTCTTGAACATCTGCAGCACTCCCAATGAAACAAATCTAAAATGTGGGGTCTTTTGGTGCTCTCTGATTTTGAAGAGGCAAATTAAAAAAAAAGTTTTTGCAGTGTGCAGACCTCCGAAAAATGGTCCATTTTTTTTCAAAAAAAAGGGCATGAATACCCTTTAGGAGGCTTGTAGAGTGCTCCTGGGGGGCGGGGGGGGCCAAAAACGAGCAAAAAACAACCCATTTTCACTCATTTTTGCCCTCCCCAGACTCCAGGAGCACTCTGAAAGCCTCCTAAAGGCTATGCACAGCCATTTTTGCAAAGGGGGCAGGGTTTTGGGAGGCCAAAAATGCTATATTCAGTGTATAAGACACACCCAGATTTTCACCCTCTTTTTTGAGGGGAAAAGGTGCATCTTATACTCCGAAAAATACGATATATATCTTGGAAATATTGCAAGGAGCAGTCCCTGTGCACATTGATTTTCTACTGCTATTTATGATGCTTCTTGCATGTAGCTTTTTCCCCCCGTTCTTGCCATGCTAAATCATTCCTATCGGAAGCCACGGCACGTTCTGGAAAGCAATTAATGTCATCTTTTTCTTGTTCTGCATGTGATCTTACCTGTTGTGGCAAAGCAGAATCAGCCCCGGATGAATGGCATAGATAGGGGTTTTATAGTTCAATAATCAGAGCTGATAATTGTGTCACCACAGGGGAGGAAACGTCGGCTTAAAAAAAAATGTGACTGCAGCTGTTAAATGCTAAACCGATCTTGGGTATCTTTAGACCAAAAGAAATTAAGGATGAGCAGCATAAACCTTTATTTTTGATGCACCAAAATACTGGTTTTAAAATCCACCACTGTTTTTATGCATTTGTTTATTTGAATTTATTTGTTTGGATTTATCAGCGGCTCGACTCTGTTGGAGTCCAAGTAACTTGACTACAGTTTATGACATTAACAGTTATGACATTAACACACGTGTATCAGGGGTGGGTTTCAACCGGTTCGCAGCGGTCCCCGTGAACCGGTTGGTCGGCAAACCCGGAAGTAAGTAACTTCCGGGAACGGTGAAGGGCCCGCCCGCCCGTGCTCCTTACCGGTCTTTGAAGGCTTCTGCACTTCCACGCAGGNCTTGAGCCAGTGAGATTAGAACCGCTGAACTGCAGATAACAGTCAGCTGAAGTGGCCTGCAGTACTGCACCCTAACCACTGCGCCACCTCGGCTTTTCCAGACACGCTCATTCAATACCTTAACCCAGGGGTTGGCAAACTTAAACATCCAAAGAGCCATTTGGACCCGTATAAGCAAACACCTCTATGGTGTTCTGATTTTTGTTGCCAACATGTAGGACAGAGTAGTTGAGATTTGAAATTACCAGTTGCGCAACCATTCTGACACATAGTCGAGGTCTCTTTGTAGGGCAGCAGCATTGTTGGTGTTGTTAAATAATTTCTCCTCCTCCTCCTCCCCATGCAAAGCTGCTTTTTTGTTTCTGTCCCAGTGCGGCCAACACATGAAGCTCAGGTCACGTGCCTAAAAGATCTGGTACTTTTGTCAAGCAGAAGGCCGAGACTTTAATTCTCACGCTCAAACAGGGAAAGTCTGATTTTGATCGAGGTCAGAAAAAGCTAGTAAACTTTGACCTCTGGGGACAAAGGTCGCCCAACTTTCAGGACGTGGCCTAATGAAAGAGGTCAGCCATGCCACGGAAAAGGGTGTGGGATTAGCATAGAGGGCAGATTTGGGGCTTGGAAAGGAGTGGGTTGTGTAAGAAGAATCCCAAACAGTATTTTCAGACTGATAGGGGCATCTGACCTGCACGATAAAGTTTTAAAAGGACGTTGACTCATTTTCTATTTGGCCAGAATAATGAAAACCCGTAAAGCATTTCATTAAGTAATTGAGACCAAAGAGAGAGTTCTTGACCTCTCACAGAGCATACCCGTTATTATATGGCCCCCTCCTTTATTTTTGTTGTTTTATATTCACACACGCTGTGGGGGGGAAAATACGATCACAAATTTCTGTACTGTTTTGAAGGTGGCCTAACTGCAGTATTTCCTTTTTTTTAACCATGTTAGGTGCTGTTAAAAACCAAAGGGCCTTGTTGGATTAGCCTAAAGGACCATCGCTGTGGTCCATTAAGTGCAGGCTACCGTATTTTCCCTCAAAAAAGAGGGTGAAAATCTGGGTGCATCTTATACACTGAACACATTTTTTGCCTCCTAAACCCCACCCCCTTCACCAAAATGGCCATGCATAGCTTTTAGGAGGCTTTCAGAGAGCTCCTGGGAGCTGGGGAGGGCAGAAATGAGCAGAAAATGGCCCATTTTTTGCTCAATTTTGCCCCCCAACACCTAGGAGCACTCTATAAGCCTTTTAAAGGTTGTCCATGTCCTTTTTTTTGACAAAAATGGGTCTGTTTTCACAAAAACGGGCCAGTTTTTGCTCATTTTTGGGCCCACCCCACCTCCCCAGGAGCACTCTACAAGCTCCTAAAGGTTATTCATGCCCCTTTATTGGAAAAAAAAAAACACGGGCCATTTCCACAAAAAACGGGCCATTTTTGGGAGGTTTGCAGAGTGCAAAACCTTTTTTTTTTTTAATTTGCCTCTTCAAAACCTTGGTGCGTCTTATACTCCGGTGCATCTTATACTCTGAAAAATATGGTATTTTTTTTGGTATGCCCCGTTCCTAGAATTCGCGCCCGTAAGAAGGAAATCTTGGCAGAAAAATGCCTTTGAGCTGAAATAAATCCGCCGAAGAGAATGTCAACCAAATTTTACACGGCGTAAGAATGGCTGACACAAACGAGGGATGTTCATTCTTAAAATATGCATCTTATTCCAAAGCTTATTCCCACAGACAGATGTCGTGGGCATTCATTGTTTATCCACGCCAGCTGTGGAGCCATTTCACTTAGTTTACCTTGATTAGCAGGGATAGTTACTGAAACAATAAATAGGCTGCAAGATGCAGGAGAGAGAAAAGGCTTGGTTCTCTCAAGGGTTTTTGGCCCTTTCTGTTGGTTTGAATAGTAGTCAAGGAAAGTAGATGGAATAGTCCAGATCCTTTTACTTCGGTCTTTAAAGTTTAAGTTTCAAAATGCTTAAGCTCATCTCATAAACTTCAATAAAATTGAATCGAACTTCCTGGTTGTGGGGAACTGGATATGTCTAGTCCCATGATGGCGAACCTATGGAACGCATGCCAGAGGTGGCACCTAGAGCTCTCTCTGTGGGCACGCACAATGTCGCCAGTGGCTCTTTGGGTTTCTGGCCAGCTGGTCTTTGTGGGCACCAATGGCAGAAAATGGGCTGAAAAATGTGCAAAAAACCAGGCCATTTTCAAGCTGTTTTTCAGACCGTTTTTGGCCCAAAAAAGGGCCTGTTTTTGAGGCATTTTCAGGCCATTTTTCAGCCTAAGAACCAGCCTGAAAACAGCCCAAAAATGGTCTATTTTGGGCCTTTTTTTTCTGGCTGTTTTCTGATGCTCCAGCACCATGCATGTGCATTCCGGTTTGGGTACTCGGTGCCGAAAAGATTCGCCATCACTGGTCTAGTCCAGCAAACTGCGGCTCTGGAGCCACATGTGGCTCTTTCTTCCTTCTGCTGCGGCTTCATCACTGGTCGGCGCCACAATTTTGAGAGGAGATTCCAGTGGAGGGAGGGGAGAGAAGCACAGTGCGCCAGGAGAAAACTCTATGGCAAGAGGACGGTTTTCCAGTTGTCTCCACCATTGATAGGGCTTTCGGTTATGACAGATAGAGGAAAAAGTACACCACGCTAGGAGGAGACTCTATGGTGGGGGAACTGAACTTCCGGTCAGCTCCAGAATTGAACAGGGGGCTTCCGGTTAGGACCTTTGTGGCTCCCGATGTTTTCTTTGCTGTGGGAAATGGGTCCGCATGGCTCTTTGAGTGTTTAAGTTTGCTGACCCCTGGCATAGGGAATTCTATTGTGTACAGAAG